CACAACTTTCTCTTCATCTATGCACAGATTCTGCGGGGCCATAACTAAGTGTTCTGGAATGGCCATTCTTCTCAAGGCCATCCATAGTTTGTTATGTTCCACACTGGCCTAAGCTTTGCATAATCATTAAAACACAAGTAAACAGCTTTTTGTTGTTCTCTTCTTCCAGCCAAGATCCATGAGGCATCAGTAACGATATCCCTTGATCCACACCCTCTTCTGAATCTGGCCTGCACCTGTGGAAAGTCCTGTCAAGGCAGTACTGTGATCATTGTTGGATGACTTTCAGCAACACTTTGCTTTCATGTAATATCAGTGATATTGTTCTATAATGTGTGCATCCCATTTCTCTGGAATGGGTACAAATATGGATCTCTTCACATCAGTTGGCCACATTAGCTCTCTTCCAAATTTCTTGGCATAGAGGAGTGAGTGCTGCCAGTGCTTCAGCAGCTTGTTGAAGTATTTCCATTGGTGTTAGCTTGAACTTCTACCTTCAATATCATTGATTCTTGATCATATACTACCTGTTGGAATGGTTGCATATTAATTCATTCTTTTTGGTACTTTATGACTTTGTAGTCTTTCCGTCTTCCTTTGGTGGTTCCATCTATTGCCCATAACACCTTTCAGCTTTGCAACTCTAGACTTGAAGTTTTTAGTTCTTTCAGTTTAAACTATGCTGGGCATGTTCTTCCTTCTTTGTTTTCTAAGTCTAGGTCTTTGAACATTTCATTATCACACTTTCCTTTGTCTTCTACATCTGCCCTTTGAAAATTATGTTAACTTCATTTACTTTATCATTTCTTCCATTTGCCTTAGCTACTCTATTAAGTACAAGTTTCAGAATCTCTTCTGACATTTTATTTATTACCTGTCTTTTCAATGATTTATTTTTCCCTTCATGAATGATGGCCTCGGCATCATGCCACAGCTCATCGGGTCTTCAGTGTCTAGCGATCTAAGCAGTTCTCAAAATCCAGGTGGGAGACACTGAAGACTGTGATTTAGCTCCCATGCACTTGTTTTAGTTTTCTTTAGCTTCAACTGGAACGTACATACGAGTAACTGATGATCTGTTTCACAGTTAGCCCCTGGCCTCCTTTGAACTACTGATATTGAGCTTCTCCATTGTCTCTTCTCACAGATGTAGTCAGCTTGATTTCTATGTATTTCATCTAGAGAAGTCCATGTATATAGTTGCCAATCGTGTTGTTGAAAACCAGTATTTGCGATTAAGTCACTGGTCTTACAAAATTCTATCATGTAATCTCTATGCCACAGCCATACTTTCCAACTATTGTTGCTTGCTCTTTGTTTCCGACTTTTGCATTCCAATCTCCAACAACTATCGATGCATCTTGATTGAATGATGAATTTCTGACTGAAGCCATTGTTAAAATCCTTCAGTTTCTTCATCACTAGCATTCGTGGTTGGTGCATACATTTGAATAAGAGTTTTATTGGCTGAATTTTGTGCATCTAGGTGGACGCAACACCCTTACTAAGATCACTAGGCTAATCCAATCACGCTCTCTACTTGTGGTGGTGGTACCATACTTTCTATATGGAACTGAGAAGGCTGTGGCCCCATTTTGTACCCAGACCCTTGTTTAAGGTGGCACTGGTGGCTCCACTGGCACCATGCTTTTTGTTTGCATTACAAACAACTTTATTCAATTTAGAAAAATGGACAAAGTCTTTTTAAACATACCTAACCAAAATGGACACAAGGGGAAAGAGAAAATCTAAATAGTTGGATATACTTTCATGTTATTAAAGCTGTAATTAAAAATCTATCCACAAAGAAAACTGTAACTCCAAATGGTTTCAATTCTTTCAAACGCTTAAGTAAGAAGTAACGCTAATATTACACAAACCCTGCTAGAGTAGAGAAAAAGAGAAACACTTCCAGCTTGGTAATACTATTCACATAACTTTAATATCAAAACTTTACAAGGTTATTACAAGAAGAAAAATTATAGGTCAACCTCTCTCATGAATTTTAATATAGAGATGTTAGCAAATCAAACAAAATTTGTAAAAAGGATATTACATCATGACCAAGTGCGGTTTATTATGGTAATATAAGTTCATATTAACACTTGAAACCAGTATTGTAATTCACCAGAGTTACACAACAAAAGTTTTGTGCTATTGTAGAGGACTCAGAACAAACATTTAATTTTATGTAGCTCTCATTCAAAATAAAATCTCTTAGCAAATTAGGAATTCCAGGGAATCCACTTTACAGTGATGAAATGAAGCTTATAACTAACATCATTCTATTTTAAAAGTTTTATTGATATACACATTCACTTATCACATTCTTTCATAGTTAAGTCATTTTTTAAAGGGTTGTATATAATATACATGGTCACAATCAGCTCTAGTGCTCCTGCCCTCCTCCCACATTTATCTTTGCTCCTCAATTCCCCTCACCCTTCCCATCCACCACCTCCCATCCCCCCAGCCGCATTGCATCAGTTATTGTCTCTATGCTTCCACTCCTTCTGTGCTTCATTTACTAGGAAAATGAGCAGAAACAATAAAAAACAAAACTAAAGCAAAACAGAAATAAAAAAGGAAAAAAAATAAAAATAAAGAGTAAGAAAGAAAAGACCACAAGTAATATATTAAAAGCCAGAGAAGGAATTTCTGTTATGGAACAAGTGAGAAATATTTGAGCCTGAAGCAATTCAAATTGGGGCAAGAGGGAGATTATCATATGGTAATATGATTCAATCCACCATATTCAAGTTTACAATAATCTCTGTCTGTAGTAAAACTGTCTGAATCCCTCACCTATGACCATTGGGGATCTGCGAGAGGCTTAATCTGGCACGATACTCTGCTGATGCATTTTGGGCTCCCACTGACTTCCAGAGCCTTCTGCAAATTAGCTGTTCATAACTCAACCTCTCATACTTTTCCCTTCATTATATTGTGATTTTGTTATCATCTTGGGACCATGCAGGCTGGCTTGCTTCTTCCACGTGGACTTGGTAGATGCCCCACCTAGATGACTGCTTGTCTGAATACAGGCTTTTAAGACCCCAAATACTATTCCAATTGATAACTGCGCACCATCTGCTTTTTTCCCCACACTTTGCTGTAGCCCTTTAGCTTCAATGATCTCTGCATGAAGCTGAGTATCAAGCAGGACCTAAGTCATCCTGGATGCCATTCCTTTTTTCCCTTATAAAATAAAACCTGTTCAGTAAAAAGTAACTCTTTTAAAACTCTGTGCGCACCCCTTGCCCTTTATTGACTACAGGATGCTAGCTGTCTGACAGTCTTCTTTTGTAGTTTAATTCATGTCCCTTTCAGTGCAAGTTGGCAATGTATCTGCTGATATGGTTGAATAGATTCATGCATCTCATGCTTAATCACTCTGGTTAAAGTTTATCTAGTGAAATCCTTGATGTTTCTCCAGAGTATACATTCTCATACTTCTGCATATATGAGGCTGAGAATTTTCTATACAATCAAGTTGGGTCCTTTTTGCTTAATGTTAACACAACTAATCTGTTTTCCTCTTACATACTATAAACAGCCAAGAGTAATTAAGCTTAACTTTCAGACTTTTGTTGGACATCTAAACTAAATATGCAAGTTAATCAGTTGCAAATTTGACATTTCACCCAGCAGAGGATCACAGTTCAGCAAAGTCCACTGCATAACAAGGGTCGTTTTCCTTCAGGTTTCTAAAACATGTTCTTCATCTCTGTCGGTGGCAACACCAAAAGTACTTGTACCATTCAAATTTCTACTAGCATCTGTTCACAGTGATATGCACATTCATCTTACTCGATACTTAAGATGATCAAAGCTTTCTTCAGAACTCTTCTCTCTCCCTTGTGGATCCCTTAATAGATTTACCTTGAAAACACATATTTTTACCAAACTTTTCAAGTCTGCCTACACCTTTTCTTTAAAGTACCTGTTATTTCCAGTAGTTTCTACCCATACACTAGTCCAAAGCAACCTCTACGTTGATAGGTCTTTGTTATAGGAACACCCACTACTTGGTATCAAAATCCATATTAGTTTCCTATGACTCCTGTCAAAAAGGACTACTTAACTGAATGGCTTTTAGAACAACAGACATTTGTGCCTTATGGTTTTAGAGGTTATCAGTGTGAAAACAAGGCACTGATAAGACCATGACATCTCTGAGGGCTCTCGAAAAGTATTCTTCCTTGCCTCTTCTATCTTATGGTAGTTGACTGTAACTTGCTGTTCCTCGTTTTGCAAATGCAATATTCCAATCTGTCAAAGTCATCCAATAGCATTAGATCTCAGTATTATTGTGTACACATTCCCCTTTTTTTTTATAAGGATACCAACCATTGGATTAGAGCTCACTCCAATTGAATGTGATCTCATTTTAACTGGATTACATCTACAAAGATTCTACTTCCAAATATGGTCACAATCTCAGATTGTAGGAGTAGGGACTTCAGCATATCTTGATTAAACATGATTAAACCCATACAAACTACAATAATAAAATAAAATGTTTACAGTCTTCCTCATACTTAGTCTAATTATATAGTCATTTCCTCATACTTAGTTCTAATTTTTTGTGTTATGCTTTATAAGGAAAGCAGCAGTCTTTTCCTTCCATTTATTACTGAAATTTTTCCTTCCCCAAAACAACTAACTCAAGAAAATATTCTTAAAAACATGTTTTGATATATTTACTACATATATATGGGTCTGTATTACATATATGTACACAAAAATACATATAAATGTATCATAACATAAATTCATATTTATGTTAAAAATATAACATTTACAAGTACTTTAAAATTGCATTCTGTTTTGTAGTACAAAAATGGTGAAGCTACTTCATAGCAGGCAATTAATACTTTAATTACTTCATAGAAAACGATGATATTTTTGGAAGTACTCCACTCCACTCAAAGCTGTGCATTTTGAAAGGTTCAGAAGTATTTTATTTACTATTTATTCTTTGTGGAAGAGAAATAAGACTATTTGTTTGCCCTGTTGATTAACTTCCAGAGGGATGTCTGCATTTCTCTGTTTCTTAGACTATAAACAATGGGGTTAAGCAGAGGTGTCAGCACTGTATAAGTCACAGCCATCAGCATATCTTCATGAAATGATGCACTGTTCTTGGGTTTCAGATAGACAGAACAAGCAAATCCATAGTGAATGCACACCACCGTGAGGTGGGAGGAGCAAGTTGAGAAGGCCTTATACCGTCCCTTTGCGGAAGGCATCTTTACAACCACAGACACAATGAAGACATAGGAAACCATAATCAGAATAAAGCTGCCCACCAGCACCAAGGCAGATAGCACAAAAATAACCATCTCATGGAAAAACGTGTAACCACAAGCAAGCAAGACCACAGGGGAGATGTCACAGAAGAAGTGATGTATTATTTTGGAGCCACAAAATGGCAAGTTGAATGCAGTGAGAACAATGCCTAGAGAAATCAAGAACCCAGTCACAAGAGAGGCTGTCATCAACTGACAGCAGATTTTGCCAGTCATCAGCATGTGGTAGTTCAGTGGGTTGTGGATGGCAGTGTAACGGTCATAGGACATGGCAGCCATGATGAAGCAGTTGTTGGCTGCTAAGCACAAAAAGCAGAGCATTTGTGTAGCACATTCAGGAAGAGAAATAATGCTGCTCTCGGATACCAAATCCACTAGCATCCGAGGGATGATGACCACAGTGGCACACGTTTCGGACAAGGATAGGCCACAGAGGAAAAAGTACATGGGAGTGTGAAGGTTGCGACTGAGCGTGATGGCCACCATTATGGACCCATTGGCCACCAGGATGGTCACATGGGAGAAGAAAACCACCACAAAGAGGAGACCTTTCAAGTCTGGGAAACTGGAAAAGCCCCACAGAAGGAATGTAGTCCCTGCTGTCTGGTTGCGCATCCTTAGGGGGCTCAGCGACTTTCGCCCCCAAGGTCCAGGTGTGCTTCAGGCGAACACATTGAGTTGCTTTTGGAGCGCTTCTTCTGCGCCAGTGTCAACTGGTCCTTAATCAAAGCCTCCCAATCAATGGCAAGGCAACTCTTAATGGGAGAGCCTGAGTCAAAGGAGCTAGATGCTTCTAGCTGATGTCAAGGTCAGTTGTCTGAGTGAAGAGAAGAAATATATTAATAGGAGAATCTGTATTAATGCCATAGATTTAATTCCAAATATTTTCTCAGAAATTACTCAATGAAGCACTCCTTTCCTCTACTCCTCTATTCAGAACCCAGCCTGTGGCTAAATCATAATGTTTTATGGGGGTAGAATGCCTTGTCTTTCACCTGAGAAGCGGAGGGTAGTTTCGAACTGCTGATCTTGCTGGTGGCACCTCAACTCATAACTGTGCCACCAGGGCTCCAATTACAAATACAGGGAACAGCTAATAAAAGGACTCAAAGGTGGGAACTTGTCTTCTCCAGAAGACCTTCCTCCAAGTCCCACATGGCTTTCTAAGACTTTTCCATGCAAACTCTCCTCTCAACGTTTTCTAGGGTATTTACCTCTAAATGAAAATAGTTTGGCAATCTTAATGCTTCATTTACACTTACTTTGTAACTATCCAATTCTTGCCTATATTAATAAAGATTCTCCAAATTCCTCTGGCACATCTCTAGTGCACAAATATCCTCCAACCACTGAAAGCAAGACTTTGAGAAATATCTTCCAACCACTGAAAGCAAGACTTTGAGAAATATCTTCCAACCACTGAAAGCAAGACTTTGGCCTTATTTCCCCACATAAAACTGTCCCCTAATATTTCCTATTTGAGTTAGTTATAAACATCAGAGAGAACCCCAATAAGACTCCTTCCTCACTGTTATACCAAATTATCACTTCCAAAATGCTGTTTACTGGCATCTCTATCTTCATTTTTAAATTCCCTCTGTTGTTCTGAATCTATCAGAAAAATGTTTTACTTTTCCAGTTATTAATCAAAAGTTCAAACATGTTTACTTCATGTACTACACTATGACCAGTTGGAATCTTAAACACAGAATATATAAACTCACCAATAACTTTTTTTAAAAACTGAAAGCTACAGACTGCTTATAGGATGAAATCCTAAAACCTCAATATGGTCTTCAATGCTCTTCCAAAACGAATTCCAAAATACCGCTCCAGCTTGAGAACTCCGGGCTCAGTCAGCAGTCTCCTTCATTTTCCAAATATATCGTGACTTTCATGTGACTTTGTACATGATGACGTTCCCTAGATCTCAAATCCCCCTACTCTATTTAACTTCCTACCTTGAAGCCTATTGACTCCTAATTTTCTCTTGTTCATATTTTTTGAGATTACTGGATCCTAGGTTTTAAAAATGTCACTGGCTTCTATTCTATCACTTATTTGTACTGGTACTTCTGCAACTCTCTAGACCAACAGTTCTCAACCTGTAGGTCGTGACCTCTTTGGAGGTCAAATGACCATTTCACAGGGGTTGCCCAATTCATAACAGTAGCAAAAGAATAGTTATAACGTATCAATGAAAACAATTTTATGGTTGGGGGGTTACCACAACATGAGGATATGCATTAAAAGGTCGTGGCATTAGGAAGGTTGAGAAGCACTGGAAGATTTACAGTAATATTTTTTCACCTACTAGAGCTTTTCAAGTCAGATGTTGAATCTCTGGTTATGCTACCTCTTTTCTCATTATAGACCTCTTTTTTAATATCCTTTATAGATTAGAGAATACTAGTAACTGTTAGCCTTTGGTATATGCTTCAGTTATACACATTCATATATACTCTTAGTTATTATAAAAGATCAAACCTCTTGGTATACTCATGGTTGTAATGGAATATCGTGGCTCAGTTACATAATTTAGCTGATAGCTACAGGAGCTCATACTCACAAAGGCAGTGAGAGATCTGGAGACCCACTTGCTTGGCTAGTCAATTATCTGTCCTCCACAAGTGCAAGTGCTCTAGCATGCCATTCAATATCTTATCTACCCAGGCACATCTCCTGCCAAGAAACTTCCCAGACAGGGAATGGGTCACTGTTTCCCAAGCATGAAATACCTGCTGTATCTATTCTACTTTGTACACATTGTTTTCTCTAACTTGCATAATCATTCCTGCTCTTCTCTGCCTGCTAAAACCTAGCTGTTTAAAATATCATTCAAATATCACCTCCCCAAGGAAGCCTCGTTCGGCCTCCTTTGTTTCAGTACTTTATTTTCCTAGGTACATCTCCTATTTTACTGTGATAAAGTCTTTTTAAGAGCTTGACACATACGCTAGACATAGAAGAGACTTAATGGATAATTTTGTATTACTACTTTGCAGCCTAAGTTAATGTATATAGGATTTTCAATAAGACTAATTTACTGACAGTAGGAATGAATGAAATCTTATTTTCTTCAGAAAGCCTCACATAATTGTTTCTTAGGTATGAACCAATTATTCCTTAGTTCAAATTTGCCCTAGTTAGTATTTATTTCCTGTGGAAAAGTACTGATGACCAGATGTTGGTACCCTCAACACATTTTAAGAATCACGAGGCAAGACCATAACCTCTATCAACGATAACACATGTATAGATACTTACCACGTGTTTCTCTAATTACAGTTCAGACTAGTGAAAAGGAAATACACATGGATTAAGTCTTCTGTAAGATCCGTCCGACCATAGACCAGGGAAGTAAGCAGCCTTGCTAGCATACAGAGTGCATAGGGAAGTGGATTATTGCAGCTTCATTAGGTTAAAATGTAATACTTTGTCATTTCTCTTTTGACCCATTTTAAATTTATTCAAGTTTTTAAATATTTTCTACTTTCTTTCGAGTGAGGTTTTTCTCTGTTCTACTGTGTTATTTGTTAGCTTTTTTTGGGTAGGGGAGTATTTGTTTTTCCATATACAAAATCCAAGATCTATAAGTAAATCTATAGAGACAGTAACTGCATTTTTGTTTCCTGAGAATATGACAGGCGAGGAGGTTGATGATGACGTGGAATGGGGAACTAATAATGAGGACAAGAGAGAAGAAAATGTTCTAAAATTCATTTGTGGTAATAGTGTACAACTCTTCTTGATATAATTGAACTATTGAATCACATGATATGCAGTTTATGTGCCAATAAATTTTTTTAAATTTTTTCGTTTAAAAAGGATGAACAAAATCCACAATATTTCGCAATACCTTAGAAGTGGTTTGCTTAGATCAACCATCAATGCCCATGCAAGACAGTGCCCTTGACAAATCATACTTGATGTGCGTAAGTAGTCAACTTCCATCGGACATATCAGAATCACTAGAGGAACTTTATTAAAATAGTATGTACTTAAACCATCATAAATTTTGACAAGCTTCTAAATCTACGGGCTATCAGGTATCAGGGAATGTGTTTTTTGTGGATTTTTCCCCAGGAATCCTAGTGGTAGTGTGCTGTGCTGCAGTTAGAACCCACTCAGCAGGAAGACAGATGGAGCAGTTTAATTCCTTAAACATTTACAACCAGGACATTTTAGGGGGCAATTCTCTGCCCGACTGGGTTCCTATGAGTAAAAATTTACTTGGCTTTGGTGGTTTATTATTTTGTCATTGTACTTTGTAAAATCTTTTTTAGTGTTTTCTTTAGGAGTACAAGTGATTAAAAAAACAAAAAACACACAACTCACTGAAATAAAGCTGATTCCAACTCATAAGGAGGGTTTCCAGGCTGTAACTCTTTCTTTATAGGGAGAGACAGAGGGTGATGGTTGAAAACTTCTGGCCTTCATCTAGCTGAGAGGAAACAAAGCCCACATGGAAGAAGCCTGTGTGATCACGAGGTGTCGATGGGATCAGGTATCAGGCGTCAAAGAACAAAAAATCAAATCATTGTGAATGAGGGGAGCGCAGACGGGAGACCCAAAGCCCATCTGTAGGTAACTGGACATCCCCTTACAGAAGGGTAGCGGGGAGGAGATGAGCCAGTCAGGGTACAGTACAGCAATAATGAAACATACAACTTTCCTCTAGTTCCTTAATGCTTCCTCCCCCTACTATCATGATCCAAATTCTACCATACAAATCTGGCTAGAAAAGGGGATGTACACTGGTACAGATAGGAATTGGAAACACAGGGACTCCAGGACTGATAAAACCCACAGAACCAATAATGAGAGGGGCGACACCAGGAGAGTAAAGGGAAGATAGTGTAGAAGGGGGGAACCAATCACAATGATCTACATATAATCCCTTCCCTCGGGGACAGACAACAGAAAAGTGGGTGAGGGAGACGTTGGACAGTGTAAGACATGAAAAAATAATAATTAATAAATCATCAAGAGTTCGTGAGGGTGGCAGCATGGGGAAGGAGGGGAGAAAATGAGGAGCTGATATCAAGGGCTCAAGTAGAAAGAAAACATTTTGAAAATGATGATGGCAACAAATGTACAGATGTTCTTGATACATGGATATATGTATGGATTGTGATAAGAGTTGTACGAGCCCTCAATAAAATGATTTTTTTAAAACACAAAAACTTTTGGCCTTGAAGTTAGCAGCCCAACATGTAACCCACTACATACCACCAGGGCTCCTTGCAGTGAGAATACACCAGTATGCCTATCTATCCAGGTATATGACTATATACCTGGCAGATACTGGAGAGGAGGATTCATATGTTCCCCCTTCTGTTTGTTTTGACCCTGTCACCCTTTGTCCACACCACAATTTTACCTTGTGTTTTTCACGTTATTCTCTGTTTTCAGGTCTTCAAATGTCAGTCACTCAGGTAGTTTTCTGAGTTCCATCTTTTCTAGGAATTTAACCCATCATTTCTTCAGTACACTAGAATATATTCTTAACATTTGCAAGGACTTTGCTAAGTACAGCTATTTTCTTAACATCCACAAGTACAACAACGCTATTTGTACAGAGGAATTGAAGACTAGAATTCCCACTTTCCACA